CAAGTCCTTCAACCGAAACACATCCACCCCCACATTCACCACATAAACAACATAAGCCAACATCAACCAAATGTACATAATCCGTTATCAACCAAAAGACACCCCTTTGCATGTGATTACAAGCCATTGAACGTGCTTTTGAACCAGCAGTGATTTCACCTATCAAGAACATTTTAGAGCTATAGTATAAAACCGAAATCCAACATCAACCGAAAACCAACACTCATTTCCAAGTCATCGCACATGGTATTCCCAAAAATCTCCAAATTCGAACATCAACTGAAAACCAATTAACCATTAGCAATTATCAAATAAAAAACCACAAAATTCTTGAGCACAGTAGGCATTAACCAACGAGAAGGGGAACAGTTGCACAGAGGAAACCACCAAATTCTCTGGCATTAAGCCTTTTGCAAAATCAAAAGTCACAGATAAGTTAGGGTACATATTACCCAGCACGAAGAAGAACCACACAGAAGAACAACCGCAAAATTTTTAAAAACAAGAACAATAACATAGTTAAGGTAAGGATTTCCCAGCGAGAAGAGGTATCACAACATAGAGGAACCGCCACACAGATTAAATGACACAACGACAAGAAGACACCGCACAAATAAGAAAGCACTATACATATAAGAAGGCACCACACAGAGGATCCCTATCTATGAGAATCACGCTAGAGAGAGAGCGAAGATAACTTAACTTATCTGTGAGAATCACACGAGAGATATCCATGAGAATCGTGCGAGAGAGGGAGGGTAATTTAGGTCAAGTATCGCGAGAGAGGAGCACATCGTGAGGGTAAGGCGAGAGAATGAATCATGACAATGAGGAGAGGGGCAGCGAGGTCACGAATATAGGAATGTGAGTCGCAAGACCATGCCTGCAGCCACGTTTCCAATGACCCCAAGCGTGTTTCCAGGCCGCACCACAGCATTTTTGTAGCTTCAATTGGGCTCTAAAACTAGTTATACTGACATTAGTCTGCTAAAAGGGTACCTATGACCTCGGCCTTTATCGAAGTAAGGAGGGTCTTGCGCTTCCCGTTCTTGGTGAAAGAATGTGTTTTTATATTTGTCGTGCTTAGTCATTCGGTTAAATTAGCACGGTCTTCCTAGCAGAAGGTGACCGACATTCATAGAAATCACATCGCACCATATCTGGCCCTGCAGCTGGCCTCCGATCGAAAATTCTACCAAGTATCTTTGATTGATGTTGACCCGGTTCTCCTTCAGCCACTTAAGTGAATATGGCTGGTAATGTTCTCTGCTTTGTGAATCCTAATTTCTTTACCAGTTGTGTTGACGCCACATTCTTTTTGCTTCTGTCGTTGATAATAAGACTGCATACCTTTTCGTTCACTGTACAACAGGTGTAGAATATGTTGCGGCAAAACCACTGCTAATCCCTAGTATCCCCAGTCTGCAGAATTCATCAAATCACGAGTGCTTCTCTTTCATCTAGGGGAAGTTGGCACACCTCCCTCTGTTCTCGGCTTTCTCGTCATTGCTAATTTCTTCCACGACGCCATGATCATTAAGTGAGACTACTCTGCTCGTGGGGCAGTTGGTGGCTATGTGGGCATAATCGTGGCACTTGAAACATTTTCTAGCCGGTACAATGTTGAAGGCGCTGTCTTTCTTCTGCTTCTTCTCGCTCTGATTCGTACTTTCATTCCTGTGTCCGGGCTTGCTATTTCCCGGGGTATCCTTGTTGATTGTGGTAACTGTAGGTGGTTGTTTGTCTGGAGGTTGCTGCCTACTCTGCTTTTGCTGTCTTTCTACTTTTAAGGCCAGTGTCTGGACATCTCCCAATGTCCAGTATGGTTGCAGTTGTACCAAATTGCTAATGGCAAGCCTCATTTCCTCAAGATATTTGACTATTGTATGCTCTTCCGGCTATATCAGTCGACACTTGAGTTGTAAATGATCGAACTGGGCTGTGAATTCCTCTACTGAAATGTCCCTCTATTGTAAGTTGTGGAGTTTTACAAAAAATATCCAGGTGTTAGTGGGGTGGGTGATATTTTTTTCCGCATTATCTTCTTCATCTTCTCCCACTTAATTATCTTTTCACTGCATTCCCTCTTTATCTGCCTCTACACATTTTCCCACCATAGGGAAGCGTTTTTCTTCAGATTAATGGTGGCTAGTTTGACTCGCCTTTCCTCGAGTACCTTCTTATATTCAAAGATCTGTTCAACAGTTTGCAGCCACCCAAGGAATTCATCTAGATCCATGCCTCATTCAAACTCAGGTAGACCTTGATCCTGTAGTCTTTGGGTCCTCCCACGAGTATCTACTCTCGGGAATTCTCCCTTTGGGAGGGATTCAAATATCCCTCTCATGGCCTTTTCTGATATCGAATTCCAAATCGTCATGATGTGTATTCTTCATCGTTGAAAGCCTCCCCATGGAAGGGATTCAGATCGTCATTTCTTTCTCCCCTTTGAATCTCCAAAGTTGGATCGAAGATATCCTCTTCCCGGTTCTTGTCATCTAACTCGGGTAGTCTCCATTGCAGAAGATGAATTTCACATTGGATCTCTTTCTGAGTAGAGCTTGATGTATCTCTCCGTGGAAGATATCCTCTTCCCGGTTCTTGTCATCTAACTCAGGTAGTCTCCATTGCAGACGATGAATTTCACATTGGATTTCTTTCTGAGTAGAGCTTGATGTATCTCTCCGCGGTAGCATGGCCATGGTTGGGAATTGGAAAAAAAAAGTTGGAGGTGAATTGGGTATCAGCGGATGCTGGGGAACCCTACGACAAGACTAGAGTTGAGCTAACTCTGATTCCAAATAGTACCGAAACTAGTAGAAGAAACAGTAGAAACACAAAAAAAAATCTTTCATTAACGTTAAAATAAGATTGCATCATGACTCGAATGGAAATAACAACTCAAAACATGAAACAACACTAACAACACTCCTAAATGTATCCTAATAGGTGATGGAGGTCGGCTAGAGAGATGTGGATGATTGGAAGGAGTGACAACAACCACAAGAGGCGAGTGGTAGCGAAGGGAAGGTGTGGAACTGAAGGGACGGCAAGTGGGAAGGGTTGCGGGTGGTCGGTAGCGATCGTATGTTGGTTAGGAGAAACGAGAAGTGGTCGGTGGCTAAGAGGAGTGAAAGAGATAGATTGGGGAGGATAAAATGGGAAAATACGATCACAACTGCGGAGGGGATACAACCGAAGAGATAGATTGGGGAGGATAAAATGGGAAAATACAATCACCACTGCGGAGGGGATACAACCAGAGTACCACCACCTCCTCGGATATAACTCGCAAAGAGGAAAGAGACTCCACACCGGAGATCTAAAGCTAAACTCAAACACAACTTTAATCTAACTCCCTCATACCCAAAGTCGGCAATTTATAGACTCCTAAAGGAAGCTTCTACATGAAGGAAGAGAGTAGGAAGCCTGGAAAAATCCATAAAATCCAAATTCCAATGTTGACGCCCATTTGGATCCAAATATTCACTATCCCACTCCTTGCTCTCAAGCGGGTTCTCCCGCTTTCGCTAATTCTCGTGGATTCCTGCTCCCGCGAAGTCTGTCGGGGCTTTGATCTTTCATGATCAAGGAGCCCCGAATCGAGGCGCTTTTTAGTGCCCAGGGGTGCTGTTTTAGTGCCCTAGTTAGGGCGCTGGTAGTGCTTGTATCAACGGGGGTACAAGGAAAACCAACAGGCGATAAGGAAGGGGGGAGGTGGAGGTGGAAGTCGAAGAAGATACTCACCATCGTGGAGAGGGATACAGTCGGAATTCCACCCTAACCGTCGGGTACAGTCCTCGGAGTGGAAAATAGGATGCCAACAGCTTTCCTAAGACACACAAAGCTGAAAATAACATGAGCTAACCCTAAGACACACGAAGCACATATAAATAATATTTTGATAGGGAGGAGAGGTGGGGCCCTCTCCTAATTGGGTGGGCCTCACCCAGTCTCAACTGAACCGGTTCATGTTGCCTGGTTCAGTAGGTGTGGGAGGGGAATACCCCCCGTGTCACGAAGTGCTTACCAAGTGCATTCAGAGTGTAGTAGTTTGTGTATATTTTTTGTAGATGAAGAGATTCTAATTAATAAAATCATTGTTGAAATTTGAAATAAATAGAAATTTAGAACAATGCTAAAATACATTTGTCGTCGTTTAAAAATTTATTTCAATCAATAGCACTTGAAGATAAAGCGATACTTAGGTGATATATTTTAGCATCTTATTTTTATTATGCATAAGGATGAGGATGTTAAGGTGGATATAACTTCTAGAGTTAAACCTAGCGGTTTAAAATGAATGATATACCTTCTATAGTTAAAATTTAAAAGGTTAATTTTAAAATGTTTTAAGCTAGGTATGTTGCATGGATCTATGTTGATCAGGAAATAAGTGATTAATTAAAAAATTGACTGTCAACAAAACTTAAATGTGAAGATGACTTTATGTCAAACTTGGACTTATGAATTAAAAAATGATTATTTTTTAGTGATGGTAAGAGCAGCATCTATTTAAAATAGTGGACAGTGCATTTATTTGGTTTGGGAATATATACTGAAGGGTAGAAGATGTGCCAAAAGAGCGGTAGATAAAATTCATATCGAAGTATGAAGAAGAAAAGTGCTTGGTCAATGATAATTTGAATGGTTGTTGTGCAAATACATTGCTGAAAATAGATTTTATTCCTCATACAGAACTTGTCGATGATCAATGGACAATGATGTCCAAAACTAAGCCTATTTCACTACATGTTAGTCGCTTGTGCGAATGCCTTCCACTTGCACGTGGGATTAACTTACATGCAGTTAACTTTGCCTTCTTTTTATCTCTTTTATCAGAAAGCTGATCCGTTTCATATATATACTCTCCTTGTAGTTTATATGATTTACTCCAATTTTATGCAATTCTTTTGTATATGTGGTGTTATAAATTATAATGTTGCAGCAATTATGTTTCCTTAAAATTCATGATTTAATTATGCTGATTTCGTCTGCAGTCTCATGTGACACACTCGCTTCAAGTGGAAGGCATTCGAGGCATCGTAACGTTCCCCGCCAAATTGGAATCCAGCACCCTCGTCTTTGCCTATGGAGTTGATCTCTTCTTCTCCAGAATCACTCCGTCGCGGTCTTACGACTCCCTTACAGAAGATTTCAACTTCGCCCTCCTGCTCATCACCATTGTAGCCCTGCTGGCTGCTATCTTGGTCACATGGGTCCTCTCTGAGAAGAGAGAACTGAGGGATAAATGGAGGTAAGCGTTATTTTCGCTCCAAAACCTTCAAAAGTTTTGTTCTCAACATTTGTTTGATACTGTTGTAATTTAGTTTGTCTAAACTCTTACCATAAAATTTCTATTTATTTTTCAATAATTGCTTTTCCACTTGAATCATGCTTACTTTAAGCTGTTTTTTAAGTCCTCAAGATCTGAAATTATATTTTATTTAAGCTCTCAATAATCTATTTTCACACTTTGAGGCTATATTTTGTGCTCCGTTTGGGGCAGCTTATCCGTTATCGTTTGGAAACAGCGTTTGAGTTGCTTATCCTAAAACACAGTTGGACTTTTACATTAAACGCGGAATGCGGGTCTAACCCCGCAATCCATGTTTCCAGATAAACGACTTAACTGGATAAGCACAAGCTGCACCAAACACACCACACCCTAATCTTTTTTCAATTCTATCCACCACTCTTATCCACCATTCTTCCATTGAGAGAAAGTGATGGTAGTCTCTCCTATTTCCTGTTCCTTCAATATTGAACCGTTGATTCCCAGCGTTTCTATCACATGAGCTGCTATCAAATTTAAAGGTTGCAACCAACCAATTGCTCGCAGTTGTCAGTCATTAAGAATGAAGTGGTTGGCTATCTTTTCAAGGAATAAAACTACAAAATTATTTAGGCTTTTTTTAATAGATTCTTCATTAAATTTGGAAGAATGTCTGTTACCCACTTTTGATTTGATTGAGATTTTATTCGTTTGCCTTGTTAAATGTTTATGGGGCATGAATTTTTGTATCCTGTTTCCTCTTTTTTGGGTAATGGAACCTTATTTACTTAAAATTTAGAGGCATTTACATGCATGTAACTTAATTTTTATGTCTTTACATAACTAATATTTAAAATTTACTTATTTAACACTAAAATTTTAACACCACATTAAAAATAACTTTAATATTTGCTTTTTTTAAGTGAATATACCTTTTCTTGCTTATTATTTAATTTATTTATGTTAGTAAGGTGTTGATTAAATATCAAGTTTTATTATCTTGATACATATATACATAAGAATTGTGTGATACATATATTATTTCTTACAGAAATTTAATTAAATTCCACGTAGGGTTGTAATCAAGCCGAGCTATGTAAATCGTACTTTGGACTTCGTTTGTTGCAATTATAAGTTCATGTTCAGCTTGAGCATGCATCAAACATTCACATATTGTTCAAGGTTCACTTATTGTTCATGCTTTCATATATTGTTCAAGTTTGACTTATTTAAAATTTTCAATGTTTAAGCTTGATTTGTATTCGATTGTTTATGAAATATGAACGATCTAAAAATAAAGAGTACCTAAATTTTCATATGAAAAAATATAAATTTTACAAATCAAAATACATAAACAATTGAATAAATCATGTAACATGTGTATGATATAAGCAAATAAGCTAACATGTTATCATCTATTGTTAATAATAGATATATTTTCATAAGAATGAATTCTAAAATAGAGAAAAAATTTTGAAACAAGAGCAACAAAATTTAAATAAAATGGTACTATAATATAATTTAAAATAAAATAAATATATAATTAAGAATTAATTTAAAAATATTATTGATATAATTATATATTAATATTAAATGTATAATTAAATAAATTTTACCAAATCAATTTTTTTTTAAAGTAATGTGCTATATATGATATTAGCTGTATTCAAGTTTTATATCGAGTATTTAACAAGTTTGTCCAACAACAAACGAGTTTATTCATGAAAATAATTGAACAAGTTTAATCATGTTCATGTTCAGTTCATTTAAGATTCGAGTGTTAAAAAACTATTCAAGCTTATTCATTCAAGATTCAAGTCCTAATTGAGTTGAGTTTGAGTTGTTCATCGAGTGCATTGGTTCATTTATAGCCCTAAATGTCCACACATTCCTATGTGTTTGTCTATCTAAGACCCAGAATTTGATAGTCACCTTCGTGACACTTCAGTATCATAATCCTATGCAAGAAAGTATGTTTTTCATTTTTAAATAGTTAATAATAATGCTATATTTTTATGTGATACTAAAGATTGGAGTGTATGCATGTAAATACTATGTAAATGTGAAAGTTTCGATTTTAGATATGTAAATACACCACAAATATGTCATGCATGTAAACAACCCTACCTTTAAAAATTTAAAGCCCTGTCCAGTCTCCATTTGATTAGTTCCAAGGAAACATCCATGGTTTATTCAGTAGTCTAAGGATCACCAATTTCTTTGAGACAAAGCTATATTTGTTTGTTATATAATAATCCATTATGTAAAATTAAGTTTTAAGATGTGTGGATGTATAATGTATATAATTCCATGTCAAAGTATGATTAAATTTAGTGATTAAAGGCATGGAAGTATTTTTATATGTTTATATAGTATTTTAATTTGGTCTCAGGCTTGCTTGATTCAACCAATTTTGACCCATACAAATGGAGTCCTTATTTTTATATGGATTCAATATGAACTGGTCATCAGGTGTACTTATGATGCATGGAATTATAAGTAGGGATGTTATCGGACGGATTTTGAGCCAGCCCAAGATGGGGGGCCTGTTCGAAATTGACTCGAATGAATTGAGTTCAGAAGTAAATCAGGCAGTCGCTCGTTATGTTCTATTTTGAGCTAGTTTGGTTCGAAGTTGAATCGAGCTTGACCAGGCTCGGAATCGAAACGAGTTGGCTTAAATTTGGGTTATTTGGATTTGTTTCAGCTTGAAATCGGCTCGTAGCTCGTCATATTTGTTTTTTGGTATTATATATAACTTTTATAAGAAAAGAAATTGAGTTGATCTCTAGCCAGTTTGATCTGTGTATTGCTCGAAAGCTATTCGAAAAGAATTCAATCCAAAGTTTTCGCTCATAGTTGGCTCATTTATTTTGATCCGATCTTGATTTTTGAATCAATTTTCGAGTGATTAAGGATCTTCGAGAAAGATTCACAGCCCTAAATTTACAATTTATATCTTGTAATAAATTAATGGGAAATTTACATAAGTACCACAGATTGCTTTATGTATTTACATGTCTAACAACTAAATTTTGATATTTACACTTATAACATTGATGCTATAACCCTATGCAAGAAATGATGTATTTCATTTTTATATACTAAGAGTTATATTTTTGATGTGATGCTAAAGATTTAACTGCTATTCATGTAAATGTAAAAAGAAAAGTTTAGATGTTAAATATGTAAATATAAGAATTGTGTATTTGTGTGCGATGTTTGGATTGAACTAAGAGTGTGAGTGAGTAAAGCTGACACGTGAGTCTGCTCTAGCTCGGCTCGATAACTAGCTCGTGAACTGAGCTCGTAAGCTAACAAGTTAAGCTCAAGCTAGCTTTAATTCGACTCGTTAACTCGTGAGTCGGCTCATTTAAAAAAAATATATTAATATAAAACATAGTTAAATATATTAAATTTGAAGACTATTTGAAGCATTAAAAATAATTAAAAAAATATTATTTTATATTTTATAATAAGTGATCTTTTTATTATTTCTTTTAATTTTAAATTAAATTATTTTCTCTCTTTTACGATAAGCAAATTGGCTCAAACTCATAGACTTCAACTTGAGCACGAGGTCGAACTCGATAAAATTAATCAAGTTCAAGCGGAAGTCGGCAGTTCGAGCTCGACTCCACTTGTTTACACCTTTAGATTGGACCCAAATGTACATCATTAGTTCAGTCAGAATCAAATCAAACAAATATGATTGAAAAGCATGCACATTTTTATCGGTTTGATTCTCTAAAGATTTGATTTTTATTTTCAACTTAGGTAATAATGAAATTCGAAATCACACCAATCACTATCAAACCCTAATGGTTGTCAGTGCGCCAATGAATTATCCCTCCTCTCCCTCCTCAAAACACCATATTCAAAGAAAAAGGATCACAAAACAAGCTTCAAATTTCCTGATAGGGAGCAGCCTAATTTAATTTTAGAAGACTATTATTTTTCAATATATTTGCTTTTCAGTTTTTTTTTTAATTTTTTTCTTCTTAAAATTAATTTATTATCGAACGGAGCTATCTATTTCTTTTTTTTTATTTTTTATTTTTAATTTTTGCTTATTATCGAACGGAGCTATCTATTTCTTTTTTTTTTATTATTTTTTATTTTTAATTTTTGCGGCCATTATGGGTATTGTTGTAATCTCCATCTATTGAATCAAGGTTAGAGGTGTAAATGACATACAGAAGATTCTCTGTCACTTCATCAAAAGAAGTACCGCTTCCTGAGCTAGATGGTAATGAGATTGCCAACTCTAACTGATCAAGCCTGTTTGCCTCCCCTTAGAAACATCACAATTTATGAGGCAAATTTGCGAGTTGGTCTCCGATTTTTATTGGTGCCCAAATTAAGGGAGTTTCTAAAACCTACTGAGGTTATTGTTGCGCAGTTCTCATGTCAGGCAATAGTGATCGCTATCAGGCTAATTGACTTCTTTAGAAGATAGCGGGTCAAGTTGAAGCCAGAGCTCTTAGCTAGTCTTGACAGTTTTACTAGTGACATACACTAACGTTTATCCTTCAGGAGTAAGGAGTTAGATCTTTGCACAAAAGATCCAATATGACACCAGTCCATAGGATCTTTCTTTGTGAAAAATTACTATGGATTTTGATACAGTCGGGGGAAACTGTAGCAGTTGCCTATTTTTTTTCTAGATCATAATAGATGAGATACTATAAAAACTTAGATTTTGAGACTCGAAGATCTTTTGTTTATGTTACAATACATCAAAAACTTTGTGAGCGAGGAATTTTTTGAAAAAGGCATGCATTTCTATCGGTTCCAAGAGATCATTTATGTCGATATTGAAGAAATCCTAGAAGAAGAGCCTCAAATCGGCTCTTGTTGCACCTTCAAAGGGGGCATCTACAAGAGAACGACATTGAGATGTTTCCTCTAAAGTAGAGTAAAAAGAGTAACAGACACAAAATATCCTTTGACTAGTTTTTTGAAGATTGATATTTGGGAGGGTGTACTGAATCATTCATGGTTGGGTAAGTATTTATTAGTTTTTTTTTTTTTTTTTTTCGTATGTGAATCTCCTTTGTTTTATGTTTCTTTAATCTATATGATATGAAATTAATTATTTCAGATGAAGAAAAAGA